CTCAACAAGCTTCTTTCGACATCGGTGGGGCCCTACATCTGTGCTGGGATAGTTCCTCATTTTCTGTACTACCCTACGCATTTGAATCCTGCTGATGCGCCCACTCGTGGAAAGCCACCTCCTCAACCCGTTTCCCCTCTGCCTTCTTGGCTGGTTAAAGCAGCTGCAGGTGACTTCGAGGAGTTCGACATTTTCCTCTCAAAGCTCTCCCCCAACGTTGAGGCGCCCGACTTCAGCCACCTTGGTGGTGCGCGGCCTCAGGCTCCTGCCGATTCGTTGGTTTGCAAGTCAGGCGGCCGATTGAAACTTGAATCATGGCTGGCTGGAGCTCCTCTTCGGGTTGATTCGTTTGCTGAGGGCACCGAGCATGCTGTCGATGATTGTTCCTTTCTGGGGTTTCCTATGAGTCAAGTGTTTTCTCAGCGAGGGCAAGCACCTGACCCCTCGAAGAAGGGCTGCATCGACTTGTTCTGTGGCTCTGGAGGGATAGCTCGTGCTCTGGTTCGTCAAGGAGCTCCTTGGGTGATTGGTTTCGATGTGATCAGAAGTCCGTTGCAGGATTTGGCAAATCCCAAGTGCCAAGCTGCTGTGATTTCTCTGGTTGAGTCGGGCGCTGTCAATGTGGTCGCTATGGCGCCCCCTGCAGCTACCTTTTCTAGAGCTGTTACGCCAGCCGTGAGGTCTCGAAGATTTCCATATGGTGTTCCGTGGCTGGGCGGTGCAATGAAGCAAAAGGTTGAGCGTGACAACGCGTTGGCGGCGCTGTGCTTGAAGCTGGTGCGGCTCTGCGAGTCGAAAGGAGTTACTTGGTGGCTGGAGCACCCTGACACGTCGCTGCTGTGGTGCCTTCAGGGTTTCAAGAGATTCGCTAGCCCCTCAAGTACTTCTGTTTGGAGATGCGATCTGTGTTTCTTTGGAACCCCGTGGCGAAAAAGAACGCGAACTGCAACATCCTGCGAGTTGGGCGGGGAGCGCCACTTCTGTGTTTGCACGCTGCCGCATGTTCTTCTGAGGGGTCGCTCTTCTGCGTACAAGCAAGCTTGGACCGCTCTGTCACAACCGTACCCGCGCGGCTTCTGTGACGCTTTAGCTCGCGCTGCTGCTCGGGCGGAAGGCTGGGCTGATGCAAGCGGGAGGTTGACCCTCTCCAGCTGCGCTCGCTGCGGGCACATGAGGATCGGCGAAGCAAAGAACCCAGGTCCTCGACACCGGCTTCATGCTCGAGATGGAGATCTGCTGACAAGGCCTTTGCAGACGCAGACCACCCTAGTGTACGAATCGAAGCTGTGGGATGACTTCGTTGGCTGGTGCTCTTCGGTCGTGTCTGACCCTCAGTCTTGCTTCTCTCTCTTCCCTCTCTTTGCCGCCATGGCCCTCCGCGCTTACGGTGACTGGTGCTTCACAACTGGGCGCACGCTTAGCAGTTTTCGGCACTGTGTGATCGCTGTCCAGCGGAGAGTGCTTGGGTCAAAGCCTTACCTAAGCCTGGCCTGGGAAATGGTCTCCAGATGGGAAGCTTTGGAACCGCCGGCACACAGATGCCCTTTGCCGGAGCCAATGCTGAAGGCTATGTGTGCACTTGCGTGTTTCTGGGTTATGCGCCGGTGGGCAGGTGTGACTCTTTTGGCATTTTATGGCCTCGCCAGGATCGGTGAGGTGCTTCGTTGCCGAAGATCTGACCTTCTGCTCCCAGAGGATCTTTTAGACGATGCACATGGTGCTTTGTACCTGTGTTTTAAGAGCTCAAAGACGGCAACCAGAGGACGACCCAAGGTTCAGCACACCAAGGTTTCAGACGTCCGTGCAGTGAGCTGGATTTCGGCAATTTTTGGAGGCTTGGCCCCGGATGATTTGCTTTGGCCATCTTCCCCAGCTGCATATCGGCACCGCTGGAATGTGCTACTCAAGCATTTGGACGTGCCCCTAGGCTTGCGCTTGATGCCAGGTGGACTGCGAGGCGGCGGGGCAGTGCATCTGTACCGCAGCGGGCATCCACTCACTGAGCTGCAATGGTCTATGCGCTTGAAACACCTGGGGACGCTCGAACATTATCTGCAGGAGGTAGCTGCAGTGACAGCCCTCACAGACATATCTCCACATGGCCGCTCACTGATCCGTACTGCGGCTCAGCTCTTCGATGCTTTGGGCGAGCCGCCCTGAGAGCCCTCGTTTTTTCTCAACAGGACGAACGGACC